TGGTTCCGTCAGCTTCGATCAGGGAGTAGCTACCCTGGACAACGTCTCCGTCGCGGGTTTCCTGTTGGCTCTTGGCGTCACCGGTCAGGCTGTCGTGCACGTCATAGGCGTAGCTGTATTGGGGGTGGGGGTCGAAGTCGGCGTCAACGGTCTTGGCAACAACGGCCTTAGCCACAGGGGCGGCCACCACCGCCTTGGCTACAGGCGCAGCCGCATAGGCCAGAGGTGCGGAGTAAGCCAGTGGCGCCGCTGGTGCGTAGGTCAGAGGCTCTCGCAGGATTCCAGCGTTAGCGGCGGCAACGAAGGCAGCGAAGACGATGAACTGCAAGAGCAAATATGGCGATCAGATTGCAGAGTCTTAGCAGTAGATGTTTGTAGATATCTTTTCGTTAAAGAGCTACATATTAATACGAATTGATATTTGGAAAACAAATATAAGGATTAAATAGGATTTTCTACTGGTAGTACAAGTTTGCAATTGGCTTTTCGTCGAAGAGGTGTTTGGTTGGACTGCGGTAGTCTGTCTATATGATGAGATACGAAATAGATGTTTGTCTACATGATGATATCGAAGTAGATGTTTGTAATCGGTTTCTTGCTGAAAGGATATTTGGTATTTGGACGAATTGTAAAAACAGGTATGACGATTAGATAGAAATTTTTCGTAGGTCGTTTTCTATCGAGGAAATATTAGGTTAGCTGCAGTTGGCTGGCGTTAGCTGCTGTCACGAAATTAGCAGAGCGAATAGATTAGTAAATAAATTTCTTGCGTTTCGTTACTAATTTGGATTGTATAAATAAATAGTTTTAATCACAGATCATAGAAATCGTTTTGGATAGATTAAAGAAGATGTTCTTTAGCTTTTCAGATTCTTGGACGACTGATGAAAGCGACGCGTTACCGAGTATTCTGTACGCGGAGGGTTATCGAAATTAGGAATGGAGACGTGCGTTCCACTTTCAACCGAGCGCAGAATAAAAAGTGTTAGTTAAAAATGCACTGGATAAGACTAAGAACACTTTTACTCATTTAACAGAACGAAAAAAGAAAGGCCAAATATATATATATATATATACTATAGTATATATATATACTATATATATAGTATATATATATATATACTATATAGTATATATAGTATATATAGTATATATATATATACTATAACTATATATATATATAGTTCGTTAATAGAAAGGCAAATTTAAACGCGAAGATGAAAAATATAAATAAAAGTAAAAATACTCTATATCGTTCGTTGAAAGGAAAGTCTGAATTTAAGTATGAAATAAATATACGAAATTTAGTTATTGAAGTATACGCGATGAACGAAAAGCGCCCTTTGATCAAGTTACGATTATTCCTGAGTTCGTAATACCTTGAAGGCCATTGTAGCTCGCTTGATTGGAAGATCTCTTGATCTGTCTGTCTGTGATGCGAATGATACCACAGACGGGTGGTTTTCGGCTTTTATACCGCGCGACCAGGACCCACGGGCACGCTGACGTAACTGGGTGACGGTACCTTCGACGGCCACCCGATTTGCGGCCGCAAAATTGAGCAAGAAATCGGACCACGCCCAACACGAACAATTCGATCAACAACGATAGCCGTTGGACCATCGTGAACACCGTCTCCGTCGACTAGGCCACGTCCTTGCCACGAGTTACTTAATCCTTCCTTGGGCTTCTCTTTGAGGGAAACACGCTATCAGTTTCCTTCCCTGTACTTTTTCTGCATTGTCGATTATTCTTAAAACACGTAATTTATTCTTATGCTATATTTCTATGTTCGTAACGTTTCTTTTTTCTTTATATTTAATATAACACGCGAGTTGATTCTTTGAGTGTTTAAACGTTCATATTTTATGATATAAAAGATAGAAGAAGTTTGATGTTTGATATAAAATATATATATTTGTAAATTGCAAAAGTATTTTCTAACGTTTCGACGTTTCTTTTTTCTTTACATTTAACATAACACGCGAGTTAATTCTTTGAGTGTTTAAACGTTCATATTTTATGATATAAAAGATAGAAGAAGTTTGATGTTTGATATAAAATATATATATTTGTAAATTGCAAAAGTATTTTCTAACGTTTCGACGTTTCTTTTTTCTTTACATTTAACATAACACGCGAGTTGATTCTTTGAGTGTTTAAACGTTCATATTTTATGATATAAAAGATAGAAGAAGTTTGATGTTTGATATAAAATATATATATTTGTAAATTGCAAAAGTATTTTCTAACGTTTCGACGTTTCTTTTTTCTTTACATTTAACATAACACGCGAGTTGATTCTTTGAGTGTTTAAACGTTCATATTTTATGATATAAAAGATAGAAGAAGTTTGATGTTTGATATAAAATATATATATTTGTAAATTGCAAAAGTATTTTCTAACGTTTCGACGTTTCTTTTTTCTTTACATTTAACATAACACGCGAGTTGATTCTTTGAGTGTTTAAACGTTCATATTTTATGATATAAAAGATAGAAGAAGTTTGATGTTTGATATAAAATATATATATTTGTAAATTGCAAAAGTATTTTCTAACGTTTCGACGTTTAGAAAATATGATGTTTTCGTGTGTGGAATTATCTTACGTTTGATATAAATTACGATATAAAATTATACGTATCCCTTGTATAATTTTTTTGTACTTGGTATATGTATATCATTAAAATAAATCTTGACATCGTGAATAACGATTTTATTTTATATTTATATTTATATTTGTTTAATCGAAGTGCAGAGACTTTATGGAGGAGTAAATAATCGATGGGCTGTTTAACTAACATCAATCGCAACTATATAGAACCGTGTACCTGATATCAATGTGTGTCATTTAAAATTAAAATGGCACGCACGATTTCGGACTTAATTATACCGATGTTCGCAAATTAAAAAATTGTTCAATTAATTAATCATATAATATGTACAAGTGTAAAGACTCTCTCTCTCTCTTTCTCTTTTTCGAAACTTTAATATTTTATATATATTCTATTAATATTTTATTCCATTCTTTTTTATTTATTTTAAAATCTATAAATATCACGATTTTGTACAAAATGCAGATATTTCGTGGATCTTACGTGCTATCGATACATCGTATAGTACCGTATTGAAGAAAGCGACAGTGACGAGGTAAAAGTGCACGTTGAATTACCGTTCATACTTGCCGTAATAACAGTTAATTTTTTCCATTGAATTCGAAGAATCTCGCATGCAATGTCCCCATCACGATAAATAATGTATTCATTCAGGTGTCAGTACCCCTTAAAAGTATGCGATTACGCGAATCGATTACAAAGTTAAATTACAATTAAATTCATCTAGATGTCTATAGAAACATTTAACGCGAAATTTATACCTTTCCTTTTAATACCATCCTTTTCAAACTTCAATTTCTTTCGCGTATCTTCAAATTAAAATATTTCCAATAGATTTCTACTTGGACCAAAATATAATACAAACAAAACAAGAAAATATAATACGAAAAGAAGTCGTCAAAAACAACTCGATATTCAAGCTGCAACGTTTAGGATCTTCAACTACAAAAGCAACGCTCGAAGCGTTTGTGTTCCATTTTTATTGCTATCCGTTTATCCAACGTTTATCATTATCCATCCGTCTCGTTCATCTACGTTCAAATTCCTCCAAAATATAATTATAATTACTATACTTTCTAATTAATCCATTACTACACCTGCACATGTGTAACATACGATAGACACGAAGGATCGTAACTCATGAGGCATCTTACGAAACAATAACGTTAACGGCATACACCGTGCAGTTAGAAATATTCTGTCAATAAAATAAAATATCATGATAAATTCATTGGAATAGTTTTATTGTTAACGCGTGTGGGAGTCGTCTCAATTCGAAGATATCTCTCGAGTTTCATACCGTGGAAACAGCGAAAATGCAGGTTCCGCGGGGACAATAAATAAGTAATTAAAATGGACGAATTATTTAACGTTTGATTTACTATAGGTCAGTGGTGCGAAAGAATTGTATCCTACAACCTTGAGTTCTTCCATAATTGGTGGAATCAACTGGTTTTTTCATGGTATGAAAAAATAAGAAGAGGACGAGGTTGCGCACCGGTGACGTAAGAAACCGATGACGTAAGACTGATCGGATTTTGCACGATTAATGGGTATACAGGGAAATTTTTACTATGTCAACTTATTAGAGCGATACTGTTTTTGTCGATCTTCTTTCGATAGCTAAACTGGCAGCAGCGCCTTTCGTCTCCTTATGTCCATTTCTTTTTTCGTCTAGACGCGCAAAGACCCACGTCGCAAAAGACAATTCAGGATACGTCTTAATCGGAATACTGTGTTTCACATAAACGACAAGCCTGCAAAGGATAGTAGTTCTTTTTCGTTTTATAGGAATAAGGGAATTAAAACGTTCATTGGTGTTTAGAGGAATCAACTGGTTCAATAGCTGAGACAGAAAATTATTTTTTATCGGAAAAAGCGAGCAATAAAAAGCGAGCTATGAAAAATACGAAAGGATCTAGCAATTGTGATTTAGCCTTGTTGCGGAAGCTGCAATATTCTCGTTGTTTCAAAAGATAATTCCTTGTTTAGGAGAAGACAGACGACAGATTTTAGACAATGTTTAGATTACGACAATGAACCAACTAAAAAAAGAAAACGAGTAAATCTCACTTAGAAATGTAAAAGATGAATTTTCTTTCCTCTGCAAGATTCTAACACTTCCAACTTGGGCGCAGTACTATCAAGAATACCGAAATATTCATCGTTGTCTTAAAAAGACCAGACAATTTCCAAAGAATAGTTGGCTATTTTAAAACAAGGAAGATCAAAATATTCATCTATGTTTTAAAAAGAATATATATATTATATTTATTTATTTCATCGTCCATCCGATACATACGTTTGCGGATATATAAAACCTATTTCTAACTTACAAGCTTGCCTAGAACCATTAAGACCAGTACGATTAAATACGACATTCCAAACAATTATTCTCCATTTCGAAAGAAGAAACTCGCCGCTATTAAGAATATCAAAGAATATTCATTCGTAGCGCGGAAAGAGGCCGGTATATCCGACCTTTCACCTCGATATCCCCAAAAATAATTTCCAACTTTAAGAAATGCAATTCCAAGATGTATGCATATTCGTTATTGCCGTGAGAAAGCTCAATAAATCAACGTTACAACGCAACAGCCTAACTTCGTGCCAGATATTTGCCGGTATTCGCGCAATTAGCAAGGCGAATGAATAATTCGGCGCGAAAAAAGCAGAAACAGCGGAGGCATTAAAATTCCAGTGGCCAGTGAGCGACAAGTGCGGAAGACCTAAATTCGAGTTGTGACATTGATTTCACGTAAAGTACACGACGCTGGTCGTTTCGGACTAGACTTTTGCCAAGAGCCGCCGAAGGCGGAGGTTTCGACTATGGATGAGGACTGGGATCGGTTGGTTCGGATGGCCCGGGGCAATTCGATCGATCGAAATGGTCTTCGCGATTTGCCTCGGCCCGCCTATTTTTTCTTTATGAAAGTGCTCCACTTCTGTTCACCCGGTAACGTTAGATGTGACGCAACGATCGAGGTAGATCGGGATCCAACCAGTCAACTTGACACGTATATCGCTGGAAAGTTTCGCGACCAGCTGGTACCCAACCGAATTTCGTACTCTTCCTTCTTCTTTCGTCCTGCGCGTTTGTCTTCTCTCTTTCGCTTTTTCACGGTCCCATTTACCCCGATACGAAATTGCCGATGGAAATTTGGAGAAATTTAGAAAATCGATTTGCGGCCGATACCGTTGAATTTCAACGAGCATCGCCGGATCGTCGGAAATACGCAGCGTTCTTCGCAATGTTAACGATGGTCGGAGCTTCGTTACGAGCGCTTTTGCTCGTGTAATTTCATATTTTTACGAACGCGACGAAAAGACGCGAAATTGAAGTAGAAATGATCAGACTGGTAGCTCGATCGTTATAAGTGGCGTTGATAATTTAATTCGGAAAATTTTAACTCTCATTGGAACATTACGTAGATCGAGATTTCTTTCTCTTTCGGTATATTCAATTTTATTCGTACGCGTATTTTGTCTAGCAAATTTTGCATCGATTTATTTAACTGCCTGTTAGATATTGTAACGAGCAATTTACTTTGAATATTTTATACATTTTTGCATGATGCATTCCGTGCATTCTTGCATCCTTATGTTTGTAATGAATGTACAAAAATCTGCAGTCTAAGAAGAAATTGAAATGATATTTAGATTGGAACGATCAAGTAGCGCGATTTGAGTCTCCGTAGAAGTTTCGAAGCTCGAATAAGTAGGTGGAGGAAGGCGGAGCGGAATTAGCTGCTTGCTTCTACGGATGGCTTTATGACACGTGGAATTCTTTCACACGATCATGCACCAAGTTGCGCCCCTAACTAGAAATCGAAACAGAGACGTTGATTAAATTGTCGAGTTACCAGGTAACGTTGGCCTGATTGTTCGCGTATTCCTGCGAATTTATATTCAAAAAATGTTCTGAAAGAGATCGTTGAACCAGGCAAGGTCTCCTAAAGGCGGAATTTCGCACAGCCGGTTACAAAACGGAGGAAACGAGAGAATATACAAGAATGCGAAATAAATGTCGAAATATAAGTCACGTTAGTTGCACGCAGCTGAAATTGCATCGTAGAATTTTAACGTAATTAAAAATTAATATAGTATAAAAAAGTTATATATGCGATAGAGAAAGAACAAAATGGATCGAGGATCGAATGAAATATATTTAAAAAAGGAATTTTAATTCGTG